GGGGGGGGAAGTGCTCCGTGCAGCCGCAGGCGGTCCGCTCAGCCGCGGCGCCAGAGCAACAGGGCTTTGGGGGGAGTCAGTGACCGCTCTCGTGCAAATGACAAGAGAACGCCAGAGCCGGCCAGGTGTGCGGATGGTGCCACGTGCTCCACTTGGCCGGAGGAGGGCTGAGAGGGACCGTCTGTATTAAACTGTTCCCTGCTGTGTCCAAACAGAAATAGGACGACCAAGATTGACTCTTTAGAAACCCATCAAATGATGGGCGGGGATACCAGCCCCTTGGGGGTTGCGTCCAATGTTCCCTCTAAGCTGTGGAGTCTTGTGAGCAAAAATTCTACTTTGTGAGCTACTGGCATTAAAGTTGTGAGCAGGTGATTTGGCTGCTGCACAAATCAGTCTGCTCTGGAGCCATCCTTCCGGAGCGAAGACAAAACTGTGTGAGTCAGAGGCTACAAAACTGTGAGCTAGCTCACACTAACTCAGCTTAGAGGGAACACTGGTTGCGTCCATTTCGTACCTCCTTGGACTTTCCGTGGTGGGACTGACTTCTACTGTCTAGCAAGTGAGCGGCCTTAAAGGACCCTGGACGGAGCAAGCGCGACTGGGATGCGCACCTTCCAGGCAGCCGCTGCTGCCCTCATCCTGGCCACACACGCACCCAGCCCTCGCTCACCCTCGCTCTTTCTCCCCCCTCGCAGGCGGTGTGTGTGAAAGAAGTGGCCCCGGAGCTGCAGAGCTGCCAACTGCTGCCCGGCGTCCCCAGCATCATCCAATGCAAGGCCGATGTCACCGTCTCGCTGGACCCCGCGGACTGCAGCACCACCTGAGGGGGGGGGGGCTGCCCTGGAAGCCCAGATCGGGACACCCGGACTGGGCGAGGGAAGAACGGGAGGAGGGAGGCAGGCAGAAGACGGGATGAATCGTTCTCCTGGGGGCGACTGGCAGGGCGAGGGACACTTTTCACTTTTTTTCTCCTTCTGCATCTAATAATAAATGCGCCTTAAACCGCTCTTGTGTTCCTCTGTGTCTTTTAAAAATGGTTTAAAGTGGGTTTCACGGAGAGAGAGAGTTTTTAAAACGCGTGGAACAGCTGTGTGGAACCCTTGGAGAAATAAAGGTCAGTCTCTTACAGTACAAAATTCTAAGAAAGCTGCCAGAACATTTTAAAAGGTAGGTGTAGGTTGGATGCGAATGCACTAACAGCACCTTAACCAAACCGGAGTCCAGTAGCCTAGATTATCTATCCCAGAATAAACGTTTGTGAATAACTTTTGCTAGTCTTTAAGATGTCATTGGAATCCTATTTTATTTTGCGGCTACAAACTGAGGCGGCTACCCATATGGAACCTCCAGCATAAGGTTTCCTGAGGCAGATCGATTGGGCAAATACATTTTTATTTAAAGCTACATGCAGGAGAATAAGGTTTCCTGAGTCAGAGCTCACTTCATCAGAGGGGGAAATGTTGCAAAGGAAACCCCGGGTAGCCCTGTTCGTCTGTCTGTAGCAGTAGGAAAGCGCAAAAGTCCAGTGGCACCTTAAAGATTAACAAAATTTGTGGCAGGATTTGCGCTTTTCTGAGTCACTGTTCACTTCTTCAGAGAGGACAGTTTGAACCAAGAGCCAATGAAAAAAAGTAACAAATCTCTCAAGAGTAGGTGAGGACCGACCGCTCCAGCCGTTGATAGATAAGTAGGACGGGATCAGCACCATGTCCCGAAGCGAGCTGGCTGAATCATGATGGGCAGGTCCAGTTAGAAAAGGGGTGAGGGGAGCGGAGTCTCGGAATGAATCCCAGATCGGCCCATGCAGGTCGATACTGTGAGGTTTCCCATCAGCAATAGGATGCCCTGGAAGACGAAAAGGTTCCCTCGCTGATCTCTGCGTATTGCCGTTTTCAGTGACAGATGTTGTTGTTCAGTCGGCGGCGCTCCTTAAAGACTGAACTCCATTGTGCCATAAACTTTTGTGTCTGCGCACACTTCCTTGAAAGTAAGCCCATTGACCTCCGGGGCACTTTCCTAATCTGAGCATAAGGCGCTGCCGAAGGACTCTGGTGTTTTGAAGCCTGCAGTTTCCTTCCTCCCATCTGATAGAAATTGACACCTGCGTTCCCGTCAGCTGTTCGCACACCCGGCAGGGCGGCCTGGGGCGTCGGCTCCCTTCTCCGAACTAGCCCCCATCCGTTGACCGTCCCTCCGCTCTCCAGAACGCGCGGCGCATCAGGGTGCCTGGCGGAATCTGCATCACACGCACACCTCGCTCCTTACACTGAGCAGTCCTTTCCAAAACAAGGATCAAGAAGATGCGGGGGAAATCGGGGGTGGGGGGGGGGGCTGCGAGTCAAAATGCCGCTGCGCAGGGAATAGTGTAAAATTGACCAATGCAAGCGGGGGAAACAGCAGAACGAGGGTGGCACAGCTTCTTGCTAAGAATTATACTAGAGGACTTTGGTTGCCAACTGACCAGGGGGGGAAGCCAGCCCAGACAGCTCCTGTCCTTTTAATTGGGGCTTCCTGTGCAGAAATCAGCCAGTGAGGATGTTTATGGGTTAGAGAGAAGTATCTGCTGCTGCTAAAGCGGCTGGTTCGAAATCCTGACTCCACAGATTGGGGGCGGTCTGTATTGGGGTCCTCTGAGTCTTGTCTATCATATTTGTTCTCTCACCAAGAAACTCTGCCTTCTCTATTTTATCCCCACAACCATCCCATGAGGTAGCCTAGGTTGAGAGACAGTGACTGGCCCAAGGTCACCCCACTAAACGTCAGGACACCTTGCCCTTCCCCTGGCTGACACTCCTACTCAGGGGTGTCGAACTCATTTGTTATGAGGGCCGGATCTGACATAAATGAGACCTTGTTGGGCCGGGCCATGTGTGTCATAAAATGTAATGCTAGGTAGCAGGGATATAAACTTTATAAAGAACACAAACACAAAGATTTTTTTTTAACTTAAAATAAAAATATGCTTAAAACATTAGCTCTGGAACCTGCAAAACCTACTTTTGATTTATTGACATTCACCACAGAAATCTCATGCTCAGAGTTCTGAGTCTAGGACCCAGGTTAAAACATGAAATGGCTGAGTGATTAAGAGAGTCTGGCGAAGCAAGCTATGATGCAGCAGCAGCAGAATTGGAAGCAGGAGATGGCCAGTTCCACTGCGGACCTGATAGAAGCCCTCTGGGGGCCTCATCTGGCCCCTGGGGCCGCATGTTTGACAACCCTGCTCTAACCACTTTGCAACACCATAATCTCTCTCAAAAGCCTTCTCAGACCATTCTCCACACAACAAATATTTCCCTGCTTTTTATCTGTTGTGAGGGCAGCTTGAGAGAGCTGGTGCCAGCAGTCACTTTCGTCCAAGGGCTATGAAAGCAATAGATTTTCTTTGCTCCATTTAAAATAGTGTCACACTGATGGACCTTCCCTGACCCCCAGCATCTATTGGAAATGAAGGCAACAATCTTATGTACTCTCACAAAGAAATAAAATTAAATAGCAGTCCAGTGGTACCTTTAACCAAACTTGTTCCTGCATCTGCCCACTTCATCAGATGCACTGGGATAGACATGGACTCATAACCATTTATCCTGAAATAAATGTCACCAGAGGTTCTACTAGACTCCTGCACCATTTTGCTACAACAGACTAACACTGATACCAGTCTTCTGTCAGTACATCTGAGTCTGATTCATCCTCTGCTAGTATATCTGAGTTTGGATCAAATGGTGGAAATGTTTTTCATTCAAAATAAAAAAGCCCTTAAAATTGAGTGAGTAATAACGAAAGAGCTAGAAAAAGAAATTAAATCAAAATGCAAATGCTCCCTGTCGAAACACTAAGTAACTCCTTGATGAGCAGTGCAAAACTCAAACCCCCACCCCACTGGCAGTTCTAGAGACAGTAGTTGAAATATGACTATCTGAATTTCTGAAAAATAAATCAAGCTTGGCAAGAAGCACTATAGTATTACAAATGTATGCATAGAACACACACTCTGATATTAAAATATGCAAAATGGAGGTTAGCTCTCACTGGGTGGCTATATCAGTGGCCATAAACTAGCAAAAGCTGGGGAAGAACAAAAGAAAAATCACCTAGTGCTAGAAAGGTGTGTATCTGCTGCTAGCAAGACAGCAGACAGTTCAGCCCAAATATCTGCTCTCTTCTCCAATGTTCTAAACAGGAAAGAATAGTATAAAAATAGATATGCCTCTGATTATTCAACAAGGTCATTTCCAAAGGAAAGGCCAAAGGAGAAACCAAGGTTACATCCGATGACAGAACTATTAAGGTACATACCGTTAAGTTAAATGGATTTGGAGTCTGCTCTAAATGCACCCTCCACTTGTTGATAGGAAGCTTGGGTCTTCTCACCTATCTGAATAATATTAGAATTTCTTGTCCAAGATTCTGATGCTTGCAGGGTACTACGGCATCACATCACCATGGGATATGGGTCTAGTTTTACACATTATGTATACATTCCAGTTATTCAACAGAGAACTTCAGTGTATCACAGCTCTCTGCAAGCACTGATTATTGTGTTTACATGGCAGCTCCACACTGAATATGGCAACTCCTATGTGTATAAACAGCCATTTCCTGAATATTCTTGTTAGGAAACAAAGATAATAAGATGGAAATATCAGATCTTGAATAGTCCATTTACCACCTTACAGAGTTCCAGTTTGGATCAGGGCAAAATGGAAGGAGAGAAACTAGAGATCCTGCATCGTTATACTCCTTTGGAGAGAAAAAATAGGCAAACAAGCTTAGTAACTTTAAATTGTGAAGGGGTGGTGGTGTTTAAAACCCTTCTCTCTTTCCCATGCAGCCCCAGTGTCAGGATTGCACATTTTTGTAATCTGACTTAAAAAGAGTAAGATACTGATGATTGTTATAATGTCTAGTCTGACCTGCTTGATCCATCCCAGCTCCTCCTTCAGTCATGCTGCCCACACTTTACATTAGTAAGCATTCAGGAAAACATCTGTGTACACCTAAAACTACATGTATGAAATGTGTCTTAAGAGCTGAGATCCCAGCTCCTCCTTCAACCACACAGCCAGCTCCAATGGTTCAAAGGATGGCTGAGGTTAAATTAGAATCCCTGTAATGAAAGGAGAGTGGCTTGATGTCCCACTTCAGGGTTCTACTGTAACTTGTGGGAAGGTCTTCCCCCCTCCCCCCCTCTCCCCCTCTCTCCCTCCCTCCTCCCCTCCTTCCCTCCTTCACTCACACACACACACACACACACACATTCTGATGATTCTTCAAGAATTACTAGCACATACGGCAGATGTCCTCATTTAATCATCTCATCTGTGGACATAAATGAACTAATTAGCGAGAGAGATAAGTTCCCCCCAAGCATTAACTAATACTGTCAAGCATCAGAGACAGCAGCAACTGTAGCTTAATTGTAAGTGACAGTGTTATTCCCAGAAGGGGCAACACCAGGAGTGGAATTTCCTACAGCAAGATGGAAGGGCCAAAGAGCATTTTTCTGCCATCAAAGAGAAAAGACACACACACACACCCATTTCAGATCCTTGGTCTAGTAAGGGAAAATATATGGAGGTTCTATAGCACTCCCTACTGGGAAAGCACAGAGTGTCATGGAAAGTTATGTCAGGGTTATGGGCAGTGTTCCCTCTAAGTTGTGCTAGGGGGTGCACAAAATTTTAGCTGGCTACTCAGACATTTTAGTTTCCAGCTCACAAGCTTTTTTCCCTCTATTGAAAACAATGGAGAACGGGGGCACCTCCTTCTGGGGCCCAAAGAATTTGACCCCCTGGTCCAAACTTTTTATACCTTGGGGGGGGGGGGGGTTGGGGGGTTGAGGAGAGGCATCAGCAGCTATGCTGCAAATTTGTTGCCTCTGCCTCAAAAAACAGGGGGGCCCAGAACCCCAGACACCCCTAGATCAATTCTCCATTATAGCCTATGGGGCCCATTGACTATAATAAGCTATAATGGAGCAAGGGGGAATTTTTTTGCA